TAAAGAAACTTAATCAGTTGTTAAAAATCTACCCATAAAACTACTGAACAAACTAAAGAAAATATCAGACTCAGGTTGTTTTACAGGTGAGTTCTAATGAATACTCAAGGAACGAACAATACTGATCTTATTCAAATGGTTCTGGAGAAAAGAAAAAGAGACTATTTCTCAACTTGTAAGACTGGTATAATCCTGATGCCAGATCCAATGACAATAACAGAGAGGAAAATTATATTGCAAAAATTCTAAATAAAATCATTACAATCCAAATCCAGTAATTAAAAAAAAATGCTGAATTAATGAGTTAATCCCAGAGGTGAATGTTTTATCATTTGAGAATCTATCAGTGTAATTTACCACATATCATATTAAAAAAAACCCATATGATCATCTTTATAGACAGAAGCAAAAGTATTAATAACATACACATACCACAACCTTTAGCAAAGTAGAAATAGAACTTCTTTAACCTAAAAAAAAGATATAAACAAACACAACCCACAACTTCCAGCTGCTTGTAGGAAACACCATATCCAATGGTGAAAAACAGAATCATTTCCTTTAAAGTCAGAACAGAGGAAAAGGATGTTTGCCATAACTGCTTTTATTTAACTCTAAAGATCCCAGGTAGCACAAAAAAATATGAAAATGGAATGAAAAGTATTAACGATTAAAAAGGAAAAACCACAATTGTTAGTATTTCAAGGGATATGATTATATATATAGAAAACCTAAAAGGATCTACAAACTAATGAGAGTTTTCACTGAAGATGTAACATATAAAATATATATAAAACAATAATGTAACGATAATAAATTAAAATATAATAGGGGCGCCTGGGTGGCTCAGTCATTGAGTGTCTGCCTTTGGCTCAGGTCATGATCTCAGAGTCCTGGGATTGAGCCCTGTATCAGGCTCCCTGATCAGCGGGGAGCCTGTTTCTCTCTCTGCCTGCCACTCCCACTATTTGTTCTCTCTCTCTCTCGGTCAAATAAATAATAAAATCTTAAAAGAAAAAGATATAATAAAAATACCAATTATGATTAAAAAACCCTAAAATAATAAATCCTACAGGTTTCCCTAAAAGTTTTAGGAAAAAATTTAACCTTTATTGAAGACTTTTAAAAAAGACCTAAATAAAGCAAAGACCTTATTGATAGGAAGATTCAATTCTATAATGACTCTCCTCTTCAAAATTAATAAATATAATTCCAAACAAAATGCCACCAGGATCTTTCATGAAACTCACAAGTTGATTCTAAAATTCACATGGAAAAACAGTCAATTTTGAAGACGAACAAGGAAGGGAAACCTTGTCTTGCCAGATTCAAAAATTATAAAGCTACAGTAATTAACACAGTATGGACTCAATAAAGAAACAGAATAATTATAATAATAAAAGCAAATAGAAATTCTGAAATTGAAAAGCACAATAGCTGAAGTGAAAAATTAACATGAGGGGCTGAAGAGCAGATCTGAAATGACAGAAAAATGAGTCAGTGAACTTGAACATAGATCAATAGAAATTATTCAGTCTGAAGAACAGAGGAAAAATGATTGAAAAGAAAATGAACAGCACTTCAGAAACACGTAGTACAATGTGAAGTATACAAACATATGGGTAATGGGAATCCCAGAAGGAGAAGGGCAAGAGAAAAGGACTGAAAAATTATTTGAAGAAATAATGGCCAACAACTTCCTAAGTCTGATGTAGAGCATTAATCTGCAAAATCCAAGAAGCTCAATGAAGCCAAATTTTGATAAACACCTTGATATATCATAAGAAAAAAATCTTGAAAGTAGCAAGGGCAGAATGGCTCATCATGTCCATGGAAGCAATATAATTAAAGGCTGACTTTTCATCAGAAACAATGGAAGCCAGAAGACAGAGGAATGACACAAAGTAGTGAAAGAAAAAAAACTATCAATAACTATCCTTCATAAATGAACATTCCCAGTAAACAAATACTGAGAATTTGTTGCCATCAGACCTGCCTTACAAAAAATACTAATGGAAGGAAGGCCTTGAAGCTGAAAGAATGTGATACCAGATGATAATATCAATCCACAGCAAGGAATGAAGAGGGCTGGAAATAGCAAATATATGGATAAATATAAAAGAGTTTATAATGTATTTTTCTCATTTCTTCTCTTAATTTCTTTATAAGAAAAAAGACTGTAAAGAAATAATTATTATACTGTATTACTGGGTTTATGACATAGATTTAAAATATGTAATAAATAATAGGGGTGTCTGGCTGGCTCAGTCAGTGGAGCATGTGACTCTTCATCTCAGGACCATGCTAGGCCTAGAGCTTACTTAAAAAAAAATATGTAATTATAGCAACACCAAGGAGGGGGGACGAAAAAGATGTACTGGAGCTAAGTTTATAATTCCCTGGAATTAAGCATTACTCTGAAGTAGACTGTTAAGATGCATAATGTAATACCTAGAGCAACCATTAAAAAATAAAAAAGTAAAAATTTCTATAGAGGAATCAAACTGGCATACAAAAAATATTTATTTCACACAATAGTAGTCAGTAAAGGAGTAAGAGGACCAAAACAGATGAGATAGGTAGAAATAAATTGCAAAATGGCAGATGTAAAGATGTCAGACTGAACAAAAGACCAAGACCCAACTATATGCTATATCCAAGAGACAGACCTTAGATTGAAAGACACAAATTGAAAGCAAAAAAAAAAAAAAAAAGTGGGGGGGGGAAGATACACTATGTAAAGAGTAACCATAAGAAAGCTATAATAAACAAGACTGTGTGGTATTGGCATAAGGATAGGTAACTAGATCACTGGAAGAGAATTAAGAGTCCAAAAACAAACCCATTCCTTCGTTTATTTGATTTTTGATACAGGTGCCAACACAATAAAGGGTATTGGCACAATTAGGTATCTATAGGAACTTAAGACCCTTACCGCATACCTTATAAATATCTGTCAGGTCAGGATAGATTACAGACTTAATATAAGAGCTGAAACTATAAAACTTCTAGAAAAAAAATGAAGCAGAAAACTTTTGTGACCCTGTGTTAGGTAAAGAGTTTTTTGTTTTTTTTTTTAAAGTAGGTTCCACGGCCAACATGGAACTTGAACTCATGAGCCCGAGATCAAGAGTTGGATGCTCTACCGACTGAGATAGCCAGACGCCCCTGGGTAAAGAGTTCTTAATGATACAACACCGTAAGCCATAAAAAAAGTGATAAAATGAACTTCATTAAAATTAAAGACATTAGTACTTTAAAAGACATCATTAAGAAGATGAAAAGACACATACAGATCAGGAGAAAATATTTGCAAATCAGATATCTTTGATAAAGGGCTTCTATTCAAAATAAAGAAGTTTTACAACTCAATAAAACAGCCAAACAAAAAAAAGGGGGGGGGGGCAAAAGACTTAAACAGACAATTCATCAAACATATAAATGGCTAAAAGACACATGAAAAAGTGATCAACAAATTTAAAAAAAGTGACCAACATAAAAAATTAGGGAAATGCAAATTAAAACTATAGTACAATACCACTACACACCCATAAGAATGACTACACTCCAAAGACAGATAAATCACACTTATGAGGACATGGATAAACTGGAACTCTCAAATACTAGTGGTGGGAATGTAAAACGGTAGAGCTACTTCAAAAACAGTTTGTAAGTTTCTTTAAAAAGTTAAACATAATTTGCCATATAAGCAAATGTTCCATTTCTAGGGATCAGTCCAAGAGAAATGAAGACAAATGTCAACACAAAGCCTCTATGAGATTGTTCACAGCAGCATTATTCAAAATAGCACAAAAGTGGAGACTATTCAAATGTCCAACTGGTGACTAGATAAACAAAATGTGGTATATGCATACAATGAAAAACCATGCAGCAACAAAAAATATTGCTATATATTCTATATATTCATAGAAGCTATATCATGGTTGACCCTCAAAAACATGATGCTAAGTGAAAGAATGTAGATGTAAAGATTATATACTGTATATGTTATGCATACTGCATTTGTAAAATATTATGTATATTGAATACTGACCACACACACACACGACTCTATTTACATAAAATGTACAGAAAAGGCAAATTTGTAGAAACTGAAAGCAGATCAGTAGTTGTCTGGAGCTGGGAGTGTTGGACTGATGGTGAAATGGCTTGTAGGAATTTTTTTCAAGGGAATTTCTAAAACTGAATTATGGTGATGGTGGCATAGTTCTATAAATTTACTAAAAATTATTAAATTATACATTTACAATGGAATAGCAAATAGCTAACTTTATGGATGAAATTTTTACTTCAATAAAGCTATTTCCAAAAAGCTATGGCATTCACTCTAATAGAAAGAACAGATTCAGTTTAACTGAAAACATTACAAATCTACCAATTAAATCTGTTCCATTTAAATGCCATTGAACATTAGGGGAAAAAAACTTGCATAAAATCCTACCTAATCTATTATTACCAAATCTGTTTTGTGAATCTAGCCAATTGCTTTGAGAAATAGGCCACTCTAACACATCAATTAGCGTAATTTGAGGAGCATCAAGCTTGAGTTGAATTGATAACAAGACAGTAACTTCTACTTCTGAAGGTACATTTTAATTGATTTTAATTGTAGGTTCTTTACTTTGATATTTAGATGGAAGAAAACTCAGCATACAAACAGCATTTTTAAATGTAGTAAAATAAATTTCTGTATGATTTTTTTCAAATAGTAAAAATAAGGAGGAAAAGAAATGCAAGATTTAATTTTAGAGCTTCATTGATGGCATGACAGGTATGAACTTTCATTTTTTTCACTGAACTAGGTTCATGTATTTCAATGAAAGACACCTTTGACTCAAACATTAAAAGCTTTCTGTGTAAAACTATGATGATGTGAAATTATAATATTTTGCTGTTTGCTATCCCATTCAAGAAACAATGTAGTTATTGTACTGTGTTATTTGTTCCCCTTTCCATGTGATATATAATACAGCACTTACCCTGCTTTCTTCTAGGCTATCAAATGGGCCTGGTGGATCATCCAGACAAAGAAATTCTCTCACTGCAAGGCTTTTCAAAGGGAAAAAAAAAAAAAAAAAAAGCTGGGGTACAAATAAGTTTACAAAAGACAGAAAGCGAAAGTTACTTTGAAGATATACAGTGTTTTAAGCAAGTTGGTTTTGGGGATATACCAAAAGCAGCAAGTTGGTTTATGTGTTTTCACACAACCAACCAAATACAAATATAAAATCTATGGAAGATACAAAGATTTTAAGCCATTTTCTAAGATCTTATGAACATAGAGACTGTAAATTCATACTGCAGGAGATAAAATGTAAGTCAGAATAATGGTATAGGAAACCAACCTAAATGATGAATAGAAACAGTATTACTTCCAAAATTATTAATTTAAACTAATCTAAAAATGTCATTATCTTGTTATGAAGAAATACCATTTCTAATTTATACTTTATTTGTTTCATTGTCAGGAGATGCTTCTAAGGTAACTGAAAAGTATTTACTCTGAAACAAGTTAAAGATTTTTCTTGCAATCATGTTTATTACAGTAATTTACATAAATATTTTCCCTGAAGAGTTTAAGAGAAAAAAATACTGAACAACTCATTTCTGAATTACCATAAATTTCAAAATAATGAAATACAGTTGACCCTTCAACCACACAGGAGTTAGGGGTGCTGACCCCCTGTGTAGCTGAAAATCTGCATATAACTTTTGACTCTTCAAAAGTTAACTACCAATAGCCTACTGTTGACTGGAAGCCTTCTCCGTAACATAAATGGTCAATTAACCCATATATTGTATATTATATACTGCATTTTTACAATAAAGTAAGCTAGAGAAAGGAAAATGTTATTTAGAAAATCATAAGGAAAATACATTTATAGTATTATGCTGTAAAAAATCTGTGTATGAGAGGATCTATGCAGTTCAAACCTGTGTTGTTCAAGGGAGCAACTGTAATATGGTATTGTTATCTTTGGCAATTATCAGAAATAGGTTAAAACAGTAGAAAACTTAACTTCCTTGTTACAAAAATACTCACCTTTCTAAAAGCAATTTTGGACTGAGAGGCAACTCTGTGTACATGTTAGAACAAACATGGAGACTTAAAATTTTTAGGTATAAAAGGATAAAAATATGATATTTTGATATACTGTATAGATGTCAACCTATGCTGAAAAGGGGATGTACATTGGGGTTCATACTGGGTCAGATGGGTTGATGATGACAGGGGATGGTCCTGAAGAGACAAATGGGTGGAATATACATTGAAGCCTTTCAAAAGTAAAAATAATGTGAATTAGTATAGAGAGTGGTGTTAAGAAATTAATCCAGAAGATCGCAAAGACAGAACAAAGAGGAGTAAATCTGTGGACGACAAAATCTTGACAATACAGGTAATAAAGGACACAGATTCAGGGAAACTGAGAAAAAACTTGAGTATTCATAATCATGAAATAATAGAGATGGAAAGGATCTTAAATGTGATCTAGCTGCTTTTTAAAAAATGTGATCCATAGTATGCTTTTTATCCTTTTCATGTGTTCAGCCAAGAGTATACCTAAACAACTCCAGGAATAGGGAACGTTCCACCTCTTAGAATAAACCATCTTATGTTTGAAAAATACTAAAAATTAGAGAATTATTTCTTCTAGTGAGCTGAAATTTTTCTCCCTGCAGCTTCTACTCATGAATCTTAGTTCTGCTTTTGAGCCATTCAGGGCAAATCTAAGTCCTTTTTCACATGATAACCCTAAAAGCACGTTGAGAATGTTACAGTTCCTCTAACCTTATATTCCCCCAAAGCAATACTAATACACTAATATTTTCTTTTTTTTTTAATCCTGTAACAAAATTTATTGTGTACTTACAGCCTGTATGGTCTCTGCACTCATGGAACCAACATTTTCCCCCCAGTTTTACTGAGGTGTAACTGACAATTAAAAATTGTATATATTTAAGGTGTGCAACTTAAGTATACATTGTAAAATGTGAACTACAATCAAGTTAATTAACATATCTATCGCCCCACAAAGTTATCATTTCTAATTTAAAGTACATTTCACACACAGAGCTTTCATATATCCTATTTCATTTAATTTTCACAATAATCTTGTGAGGTGAAGACATTATATTTCCATTTTACAAATGATACCAAAGTTCAGAGAGTTAAAATGATTCATACAAGTGCAAGTGGTAGAGCAAGACCTTAAATCTGTCTTCTGAGCAAAAATATGTGCCTTTTCACCTTTAAATTCTTTTCTGTTATATGATGGTTCATTTGGATCCTTTCCCCTTGCTGGTCACTTCCCTCAGAAAACATTCAACTTGTCTGTATCCTTTAACCAAGGCCTCTAGAATACTGCAATTGGTCTAAGAGCACAGAGAAGAACAGGACCACCACACATTCTTTTGGTTTAGCTATTATACTTCTATCCTCCCATTATTAGAAAACCAACTATTAGGCAAAAATTGAATCACAGGAAATAAACTGATCTTGGGACTGAGAGGTCAAAAGTCTAGATGAAACCCTGAGAACAGCCTTTAAGATTGATAAGGAAAGTGCATAGAAGTTTACAGAAGGGTCTTTTTTTCTTTTTAATACTTTCAGTGTATAACTCAATGTGAGACATTGTTTTCTTATACCTTTATACCCAGACTTCCTCATTCTTTAGGAACATTTTTATGTTTGCAAATTACTCTAATTATTGAAATGCTGCTGCTACGAGAGACAAAGTAGTTAAGGGAATATATGTATCTCTTTTTATACCTTTGACTTATAGTAGAAATTTAGCCCAAGATCCACAGTGATGTTGACAATGTACCCAGCTGTATATCTTTTTTGGAGTGGCTTTTCTATTTCATTCTCTTTCCCTAAACATCTTTATGATCTATATTACCTCCCCATGACTTATTTATTTTACAACTGAAAGTCTGTAGCTCTTATTCCCCTTCACCTAATATATAGCATAGGGAATATAGTCAGTAACATTGCAATAACTTTGTAGTGACAGATGGTAACTAGACTTTCTGTGGGAATCATTTTATAATGTATAAAAATACTGAATCACTATGATGTACACTTGAAACTAATGGGATATTGTATATCAATTAATACTTCAGTAAAAAGAGAAAAATCTTTATGATTTTTCTACTCAAACAAAATCTCAATGGATTCCCTAAGTTTTTTTCCAATATAGCTCAAGGTCATATTCCATGCCCCACCTTCTTTAATCTGTAACATAAGAACGAAATTTAAAACTGGCTATACAACTCTGATTTATAAAATACTTTCTCAGGGTTTCACTACATTTCCTCGGTTTCAACAGGACTCAGGTGGCAGAGGAAGAGAGTCATTATGCTCAAACTATTCCCATAGGAGAGGGACACACAAGAATCTCTGGGAGATGGTAATGTTTGAGAAAACAATTTCTTTCACAGACATTCTGATACCTTTTCCCCCCTAGAAAAGGAAACCTTTACCCCTGCGTGAGAATCACTGACTAGAGAACCTTATTTAGATTTGATAAATATTTGACTGCTTATGTGTGCCATGGTTCTGCTCACTGATTTCCTACATATTATCAATGTATAATTTATAAACAAATTAACTGAATTCAAATAAAATATAAATACCAGAGTCTATTATTATTAAATGGTCTATAAATTAAATAGAAGTTAATTTTTTTCCAGAGAATTGAAGTTTTTATTTTATTTTTTTTATTATGTTCAGTTAGCTACTGTATAGTACATCAGTTTTTGATACAGTGTTCAATGATCCTTAGTTACGTATGACACCCAGTGCACATCACAACCTGTGCCCTCCTTAATACCCATCACCCTGTTACCCCCTAGAAGTCAATTTTTAAGAAGAAAGTCTTTCTTTTTTTCTTCCTTGTTCACTGAAAGGTTCAGTATAGCCCCCAATCTCTCCTCCATATTCAATCGTTAATACTTTTGCTTCCATTTGGCTATGATAATAAAGGTAAGAAAAACAGGATAAAAGAGAAACCTATCTAAGAGAAAAATCCAACAATCTGGAAATAAAAGGTAAAGAAAGACTTTGTATCTATTCCCTTTATTACCTAGAGTAGCTTTTTAGTGTGTTTGGGAAAACTATTTTAAAACTGAGATCAGTTGTTGACTTAGCTTGCCTGAAGATAAGGAGACCACAGATGGTATCCCTCAGCATTTTTTTATCCGAGCAAATTTGCCCTATAACGTTATTTCTTCCTCTGATTCTCTAAAAAAGTTTTCTTTCACAGTTTTACTATATTTTCAAACTTCTTAAAAAACTATTTCATCTGGGGAACTTTCAACTTCTATTTACTATTATATTTTACTTTTTTTCTTTCATAGATATGTATCTGTTTACATTTCAATTTTTTTTAAAAAACCAGTAATTTAATAGCTAAATGTACTCTTCATCTTGAAATGTGTATTTTAAAAGAAAAAAACCCTTAAAACTAATGCCTATAATTCATTAAAAGGTCAATCAAGAACTAAGTAAAAAGTGCACTAAAAATACTAGATGCCAATTCTATCAAAATCAGATTAAGCACAAAAAGGCTACTGCATGAAAATATTCCTCAAGGATTTCAGACAGAAATGTTGTATCGGTTAGTATTTCTCTTCAGTATTCTCTAACAGTTAAAAGAAAATAACAAAAAATTGACATTAAACACAACCTGGAGAATAAGGACTCAGGGATCAAGGCTGGTGACAGTGAGGGTCACAATGGAGATGGACTGATTGGGTGTGAGGCTGAAGGGTTCATGTTTAGAATCCTGTGGTGGAATATGGAAGCAGTGGGGAACCAGTTTAGACCTTGATTATCTCTTGCCTAATTACTAGCCCACTTTTGTCCCTATGTTCAGTTTTATTCCTTCTAATCCAGGGTACTTAAAAAACAAACGTTTTATGTCAAACCCAGCTTAAAACCCATCTATGCCTCCTCTAACAAGAGGGCACAAAGCCAGGATCTTTCTGTTCCTACATTTCAGTTTTAACTGTCTTTCCTAACTGACACTTCAAAAATAGTACATCTT